GGGCTGCCCCAGCTGCGTCTGGATTGGGTACGTGGAGGAGCTGCTGGAGCGGTACCGGGACGGCGGCGCGCAGGCCTTGGCGGCTGTGGAGGAGCACGTGGAAGATGAGAACATTAAAATGATCCTCAGGATGGAGATCAGGCTGCGCATGAAGAAGGACTGATCCTCCCCCGGCCCCCAAAAACCAGCGGGTGATACCCTCCTAAGGAGCCTCCGCTCCAGGCTGGGTGGTGGGATCTGGGCTTGGCTTTATTTAAAATATTAATTTAAAGTATTTATTTAAAGCATTTGTTATGTGTGTGTTGAGCTGCAGACGGGATCCCGTGTGTGTTTCAATGCAGGCAGTGCTGAGGTCATGTCTCGTCTACGGGGGAACCTGCCCTTGGGGACCGGCAGCGTGTCCTGAGCCCCAGATTTCCCGGCAGCCGGATGCTGCGCTCCCCCGGGATGGAAAATCCCTGCCAAGGGCAGGCTGGCGCATCCCCCACACCCCGGCCCTCCCCACACCGCTGCTCTTGCCTCGTCCTTGTGCTCCCCAGCTTGGATCTTAAGCGCCTTCAGCAGCTTGGCCGTGACCTGGTGATTGGGGAGGGCTGGGGCACCGTGATGGACCCCACCGCCACGCTGGACCCCCCTCCCACCAGTGCCATAAGCCTCTTAGGGGCTTCTCTGCGTGAAGGGCTTGGGGGGGAGGCACCAGGGCTGCCGGCTCCCTCCCCGGGCAGGAGGTGCAGGCAGCGTGCGGCCCCAAGCACGTGGGGCCTGGCAGCCTGCCGGCAAGGGCACCGGCCCTGAGGTCACAGCCTGCTGGGCTGTTCTTCCTGGTGCCTTTTCTTCCTTGATTGCTTTTGCCTCCGTCTTAAAACCCCATAAATTTCACCCAGCACATCCCCACCTCCATCCTGCCTGGCCAGGCTCAGGGACTCACAGGCTCCTGGCCATTGGGACCCCCACAGACCCCTCCCTGCTCTCCAGGGATGAGCTCCCCAAGGATCCACGAAGCCCTTGAGCAGCGCTCACTAACGAAACCCAAGCTGGAAGCAGCAATTAACACCAGGGCCCTGCTCTTTGCCGGAGAAGTAGCTGGTTCTGCCAGCTTGGTAGAAAACACTCCCGAATCCCTGTAATCCTATTTGTTGAGAGTCCAACTAATTGCAATTAGTGGCAGGGGCTGAAGTTCAATTAAAGTGTACTGAGATTATTCCTTTTTGTAATTGCTTTAGTGTTGGGATTAAGGGAAGCTTGGGAGTGATACCGTCCCATGGAGAGCAGGGTTGCTGCCCAGCCCCTCTTCTGCCAGATTTCGGCTTGCGGTGCCCAGGCAGGGCTTGGGCTGTTCCCTGGGTGAAGGCACCCATGGTGGCACTGGCAGGGATGGGGCTCAGAGG